CCCCCCCCAGCGGCCCCTGTCCACCTGTCCAGTCCCGGCCGGGTCCACGCGTCCCCCCTGGAGACGGGCGGCCCGGGCAGCAGGGCCACGGGCCACGGCTGCCGCCCGCCAGGTGCAGGTGCGGGTGCGCTGCGCCTCCCGCCGCCCCGCGCCGGGCGGGCTCAATGTTCCTCCTCCCTCCTCCCCAGCGCTCTCCAGGACGGGGGCGCCGCTGACAGGCATTGGGTTGGGGATGAAGAGGTGATGGAGGCTCCAGGCGGGCGCCCCTCACGGGCAAGGACATGCAGGTGGTACCCGGGGCCGCCGAAACTCGGGTGAAAAGTGTGTCTGACATACGACGGCCGTCGGATTTCATAGATTTTCTCGTTGACTCGGTCCGCATCTACGACGCCCGCTCCTCGCGGCGGACGAGGTTGCCGCGCCGGCCGCCAGGTGGCGCTAGCGTCGCCGCCCGGCCGAGCCCGGCCGAGGCGACCCGAGCGGGCCGCGGAAACGCCCGAGTGCGCCCCGCGATGCGTAGTTTTCCCCGAAAAATCGATAGAGCGCGCCAGCTGCGCGAGGAGCTCGACTCTCGGGTCGCTCAGAATCTATGCAGTGTTAACGGCACGGCATACCTCGGAGCACACAAAAGTCATGCGAATACTGTGATGCTCTGAGGACGCGTCTGGATCGGATTGTTCTGTTCGGAGTGCGCGGCGCGACGCGAGTGTGGTGTTCGTGACAACCCCGGGCCGGAAAACCGCCGCGGCCAACATGGGTGCGACGAAATACGCGAGTGTTGTGTTCTGCCTGAGTGTGGTGTTGCGGGTCACGCTCGCCTCTGGAATATCGGAGCTCGAGCTGTCCAAGCTGTCTGGAGCAGGCATCGGCTCTGCTGACGGCGGTGAGTGCTCCTCGCGTGCCAGGTGCACCCTGGCCTGTGTCAACGGGAGGGCCTAACAATAACTTCAACACGGCGCCCCCGCGCGCGGCCCGACCCGTCCAGGCTCCAGGGCCCTGCGCTGCGCTCCAGCGGGCCCCCCGCGCGCCGCCCTTGGGCCGTCCTGCACGGCCAGGCCGTACCCGCTGGAGCGGACCTTCCTGGAGCCTGGGGACGTGCCGTGTCCGGAGGGGCAGGCCAACCCGGCGGACACACGTGTCCGGCGGGCCGCCTACCTTTCGCGCTGCAGTGACACCGCGGTGCAGGTGCGGGCGCGCGCCGTGCGCACACGGGGGTCCGGGCCAGGCCAGGACACCACACCTGCTTGCATTCCTGGACCCAGCATCCCCGTGCCGTCCCCGGAAGGCTCCCCATTGTCCTCGCCGGCCTCTGAGCACGGGCTAATCCCCGGCCCGGGGCCGCGGGCCGCTCGCAAACCCAGCGGCGCCCAGGGAATGGATGAAAGAGCGGGAGCAGACGGCCTACCCTCTGACGACGGGCCTTTTAGGTTATGTGTACACTCGGGTGATTCAGTGGAGAAACCAGCAGCCACTCTGTCACCACTGCCTCTTTCAAACTTCTGAGCACAACGAGCATCATTTCCCCACTTTGGTTTTTGGCTAAATTTTATTGTTTCAGTTTTACTCGAAATTTTGATGACATTTCCCTGTCATATGAAATTTATTTCACTCCCCTCTTTGTGTTCTTATTGACATCCATTGTTATTGCATTGCATTGTTATTGGAGGGTCTGTCAAAAAGGACTTTGTACGCGTTTACTTTGCATTGTTTTCAATTAAATTATTTCATTTCACTCTAATTCTTTAAATTCAGATCAAACATAAATATTAAAATTTTACATCTGCGCATTGCTTGGTAAATATACTACGCCCCATTGATTTGCTGTTATATGCGAACTGCCCTTAAGAATCTAATGCAATTATACTATTCAATTATACAAATTCACCCTTGCATATTTTTATTTTTTTGACTGTTTTTTAATTTGGTTTCTTTCTAATGCAGTTCCTCATCTTGATCTGCAATCGCTTGAGAGTGGTTACCACGGCCTGGTCCGAGAGAATGAGACCACTGTGGAGGTGACACCTCGCATCAAAGCTGTTGGTGCCGAAATCTGCAGCTTCAAGATTGTCAACAAGCACCATGGGGATGCACCTTTTGATGTAAGTATCAAACGACTGAAGTGATTTGGTCCTAGAACTTAAGCTCTTTAAGCAGACACACTTGCCATTCAAAGCCCTTTCCTCTGACCCGTCCCCCACCACCTCGGCCATCCTTGTCAGGCCTTCCCGCGGGCGGCTTGCGCCGTTTTCTCATGGCAGTTCCCTGCCCTGTCAGGGATAATTTGCTTAGGCCAGCTCATGGCTTTTTGACAACCCGGCCGGCAGCATCAGATGCAAGGCCGTGACGGACGGCCGTCTCGTTGTTTCCTTGTTGCCGGTCGGCTCGTCTCGGTCTTGCCTTTTGCTCGAACGTGACTTCAACCCGTTCCATTCGCCACGCTTCGTTCTGCCAGGCGGGGCAGAGCAGAGCTTAGCCGGCGTGGCAGCTACTACTGACTGCGCGCCAGTGACGGAGGCTCAGGCCTCGGCGCAGGCCGCAGGGCAGCGTCACCCTGCCAGTGAGAGTGGCAGAGAAGGGTGGCGGAAACAAAAGCTCACGCCCTCTCTGTCACACTCGGCAGAGCCCCGCTCGCTCCAACTGCTCCAACTCTCTCGTGCAAAACCAGCAAAACCCGGGCCCCGTCACTTCACTCCGGCACTCAGATCTGCTGGAAGGGTGCCGTGGGTGAAGCCGCGGGAGTTTGGTCCCGTCATGAACAGCTGACTGGAGTCTTCCTCGGGCTGCCCCCGTCCCCGCCGCGCTTTTGTCTCTTCACAGGGCGCGAAGACGGCGCCGCGTCTTTTGACCAGGATTTGGGACACTTTCTCGGCGTGCACTGGTGTTAAATGGAGGGCTGGCAGCATTGTCCCCTTCCACAAATCTCGGGCCGCGCGTCGTCCTGGACAAGCGCCAGGACCTCCTGACGTACTAAGGAAGCGTTGCGCGGGGCCTCGGGGGGAGGGGCCGCCGTCCCCGGTCCCGGGTCAATGCGCCGGTATGACAAAACGCTGAGGTTGTGAAAACCGATGACTCGAAAGCCAAAGCCGCTGCTCGCGGGTCGCGGGCGACGGAACACCACCCCATCCCCACTATACACGAGTTTGTGTTGTGTGGGTGAACACGTGAACACCAAAGCCAGCGCTGCCGCCGCCTCCTCCTCCCCCCTCGTGATCCAATCCCATCTCGCTCCCTGCGGGCGGCCCTTTCCTCGCCGTACCGGCGCGATGTGTGGCACAGGTGGCCACGTCCGTCGCGACGCGCCGCGGAGAGGCGCCCCGGCGGCCCCCCGCTCTGCTCGAAATAGCGTGCGCTCTCTCTCCCTCTCCTGGGGAGCCAGGGGGTCTTGGGGGCCTGTGGCTGTGTGCTCGCTTACGGCACCTCACGGAGTCCCCTCGGCGGTGACCTCGCGCGGCGACACGCACGGCGTCGAGGAAGTCTCAAAGTCCCGCGAAGCCCTCGGGTGCTGCCGCTGCAGAGGCCGTCGTCAGACAACTTTCGGGGAACACCCGCGGGGTGGGGCGAGCTGGTGCCGCGTCCGAGCTGTGCAGGGTTCGAATCAAAGTTTGCACAAAGTCCCCGGTGGACCCGAGAGGCGGGGTCGACGACCTGCTGTAGAGCCACGCTGCGCGTTGGCTCACATTAGGTTTTTGAATCTGCCGCGCCACATATAGTTGGCGCGCCTGAGCGCAGCAGGTCGGCAGCCCACAGAGAGCGCTGCCGGCGCAGGGGATGGACAATGGCTAGGCAGAGCGCCCGGCGAAGAGGGCAGCTGCCGCTGCTACAACAGCCGCAACCGCTGCACCCCCGAAGGGGCCATCCCCTATAAATTGAGGCTGCACAGCTCAGGCAAGGACAGTCGGTCTACAGCCGCCTTGCACCCCCCACCAGAGGTAAGGGCAAGCGGTACTGTAGGATCACTCGGCGGGGACACGTCCCCGCAGCTAGGCAGGAGTCAGGCACTGCACAGCGAATAGGAAATATACCAAGGTGATTTCCCTGAACTGTAAGCGTTTCTCTCCAAGCTTGCCACTCGAACCCAGGACAGTCTAACCCACCTACCCTGCACTAAGGTACTCGGCCTCCCGGCCGTGACCTCCCTAGGGCGCACCACCCGATGGTCGCTCTTACACTGTGATAGGCACCATACATCTACTCCGCATTTAGGTACTCGGCCTACGGCCGTGACCTTACAGTAGGCGCACCACTTGATGGTCGTCCTCACGCAATAACATTCATCGTACAAATACACTGCATCTAGGTACTCGGCCTACGGCCGTGACCTTACCGTAGGCGCACCACTCGATGGTCGTCCTCACACAATAACAATCATCGTGCAAATACACTGCATCTAGGTACTCGGCCTCCCGGCCGTGACCTTACCTAGGACGCACCACTAGATGGTCGTCCTGACTCAGTAAGGGGCTGTTCACGGCGAGCCCCGCACCCGGGACCCGGTCCGCGCCAGGCTCTCCTGCCTGGGCTGGCCACACACGTGTTGTAAGGCCCGCCACATGGAGGTTAGCCTGGCCCGATAAGTCTCGTGGGTAAATACACCTAAATACGGGTCATTACACCTGCCCCACCTCACGGCACCCCCAACAGGAGCTCCGGGCGCCCGTTCTCGCGGCCGCGGGCGCGCCGTGCCAGGGCGGCCGTGTATGCAACCAGGTGCAGGGGCTCGAAGCGCGCCCAGGCCGCCCCGGGGCCGCGTGCTCGAGCCCAGTCCGAGCTAAATCGCGCCGCCCTGCACGCGAGGGCCCCACGGGGCCGCGGCGGCCGCACTCGCGCGGCCTTTGCTTCACCTGCCCCCCCCCCCCCCCCCGTATCAGAGCACAGAGCGCCGACCTCCGCGTTATCGCTGCGGGCTTTCTGCCCTCGTTTCCGTCGTCTCGTCTCCGCCTCCGCGCACCTTGGAGGATGTGACGGGTGACAGGTCAGCGCCGAGGGAGTCGAGACCCCGTGTCACCACCATCACCACCGACGTCGCCCTGGTGCACACGGAGCGAGCGCGGCGGCGGCCGTGTGGAGGACCTCGTCACATCAGGACGAGACCGCACACTTGGCGCCGCTTATCAGCGCGACTTGTCTTGTAAATCACTGCGCCTTATCGGCGGCCTCTTGGGCTTCTCTCTCTCTCACACACACATTCCCACTTTCTCTCTCTCTCTCTCACTCCCCCGCGCGTATCGCGAAAGAATGAAAGGCGCCGCGGGGATCGGGACCACAGGACGGCGTCGTGCCGCGCCGCGCTGTGCCGCCTCCCCTCAAAGCCTCGCGGGGAGGAGGCCGCCTTCCTCTCAGGGCGAGGGTGAGACCTGCGCTCGTTATCATTACAGTATCAGCCGATGGCGCGAGCGTGCGCACGTGCGTGTCGCTGTGTGTGTGTGTGCGTGCGTGTCGCTGTGTGTGTGTGTGTGCTGATGCCTAATTTGTTATCTCAAGAAGTTAGTAGTGCTGGTAGAAGTACCGTAGGCAGGCAGAGGGGGTGTGGGAGGCGGCGGTAGCGGCAGCTAGGGGAGCAAGGAAGAACCGGAAACTCGAACGTGTTGGGAGGAAAGTGTAAAGAGAAGGGAGGGGGAGGGGCCGTAGCCAGGTGCACAGCACCACTCAAGTCACTGCTGCTGCTACTGCTGCAAGTTCCATATCCCCGTCGCAAGTTGGAAGCGGGGCGAACCAGGGCTGCTGCCACACACTGCCACACCAGTAAGGCTATTACGTGCCACCTCGTCGCGTAGTTTTATTTGTAGTCCGGCCTGCCAGCCTCGGCACCTCGGCAGCCACCTAGTGGAAAGGGGAAATGCAGCGCGGCGATTGGTCCTCCGTACGCTCCCCACTTTTCTACGTCACACAGCCACTACACGTCACAGTGGACAGTCTCGCCGCCGCTCGCCGCAGCCGCACAAACGAACCAATAGGCGCGCTGCATTTCCCCTTTCCACCAGGTGGCTGCCGAGGTGCCGAGGCAGGCAGGCAGGCGGCTACGGACTACAAATAGAACTACGCGACGAGGTGGCACGTAATAGCCTTACAGAGCGCCGCGCACACCGGACCAGCACTTGGCTCCATTTCAAACGGCGGCCAACTTGGAACACTGTCGTGCGCTCACTCCCACACACCCACACAAACACACACGGCGCCCAGGGAAGCTCTTGGCTCCATTTCCATTCCGGTCAGGATAAGAGGGAAGTCTTGAAGCAATCCATCGCCCCTGCCTTCCTGCCTGCTCTACGCACGACCCGGCCTGGGAGACACCAGGAGACACCTGGGCAAGGGGGAGACAAAGAGCGAGAGGAGAGAGAAGGTCAGGCCGGCGAGAGGAGACAGTGCGGCCGCGCCCCGTGGGCTGGGCGGCGCCGTGCGCGCGCGCGGAGGTCATGTTGCCGGCTCGCACGGCTTCCTCGCCGGCCGGCCGCCGGCCCCAACCCCTACGCGACGCGCTGCAGTATTGCTTTCACTTTCCGCTCCCCCGCTGTACTCCCCACACGACAGCCGTCGCTCTGAAGCCAGGGGCCAAAGGCGTCAAGGGCTGCTGAGCTCAGACAAGGCGCTTGAAGCTCAGGGCCTGAAGCGCGACCTGGGGCACCACCATAATGTGGTCATGCGGCCTCTCGCCTTGGACGCACGCAGCGCTCAAGTGCTGGTATAATCTCCCAAGTCGTGCGTCTTTGCAAACGAGCAGTCGTGCTCGCACGATCGTGTCAGACCCGCATAACCCGCGCGACCGACCTATATTTATACGCCCGGTGTATAATGAGCCCGCAGTGTGCGGTACCGGGTGCTGGTACCCAACTGGCGTGTACCTGGTGGGCAGGTGTCCGCCAGGGGCGGGCCCAGGCCGGCGCCGGTCTTGAGCCAGGTGAAGAAAGGGGCCACGGCCACTACCGAGTACTCGCTCGGAGCTCCTCGAGGAGACCGTTCCCGGTGCCGGAGACACACCCTTTGGGCCCGCGGTGCGCGGTGGTCCTTTTGTCCCAGGTGGGCCAGCTGGGTGGGGGCAGAGAGGCGTGCGCAGCCCGGTGCAGCGCCGAGGCCGGTCAGCAGGCCGCTCTCCGGACAGGTC